CCCCCCCCCCCCAAAAAAAAAAAATCTCCGACCTTCCTAAGGCGATAAATGACAACTGGTCCCCTATTTATTTTTTCTTTCAGTTTTACATCTTAATTACTGATTGTCCAGACTGCGTTTCATTTACAACAATCAGAACACAGTTGAAAGAGACCAAATACGCCCAAACCCTCCAGTGTGGAAACAAGTACACGTTTACCGTTAGAGCACAAACCACGGCCGATGTGCTGACCCAAGAGAGCAACGATACGCTAGAAATCGCATCACCTGTTGGAAAAGTAGAGAACTTTTCAGTCAAGTCTAGTGATACTCACAGGGATAATAGTACTCACAGGGATAATATGGTGGCGGCGAAATGTTCCGTGATGAAGTGGGCCCCCCCTAAGGAAAACGATTCTTCTAGTGCACAGGTATTGTGAAACTGCCCCAAGAAATGCCCCCTCTAAACACTTACAATACCTTTTGATGAGCTGAGTATCTTCCCAATAGTGGTGCTGCTCGACTCCTTATCTATTTTTACTCTGTTAAGTGAGGTGTTGTCCTTCCAAGGCTGAACTCTAATGGCTAAAAATGCCATTGAGTAGCGATAAATAGCCTGTATAAATAATCGCTTTTTCAATTTTTTTTCAATTATTGCTAGTGTCCTAAGGCACTTAGACATTTAAGGAACAGTCTGCGCAAAATTATTAATTTTGAGTTTTTTGCTGAAAAACTGAAAACTTCGAGCGAAGTCAAATAAAGAGTAGTCCCTCCTTTTCGCGAAGTCGGTCGCTCGAGTTAAATAAATCTGCAAAAAAAAAAAAAAAAAGTGTGTTGGATTATCAACCCCGGAGTGTAACCCAAAGTTATATTATCTGTTTCAGTGGACGGGTTATCAAATTGCGGTGCGGACCACAGATGCGTTAAAGAATTTCGTAAAGACCACCAAGGTGTCAAAAGAAACTCAGAATTATTCTGTGTGTGATCATGAAGATAATGAATTGAAAGCTGGAAAGGAATATATTTTCGAAATCCGTGTCATCGTGCCCTGTGGCTTTGGTGCAACAGCCATGTTGCGTGCTCGTCTTGGCGAAGGTGAAGGTGAGTATTGCTTCCTTTTAGTATGGTTTCTTCATCAATTTTTGGCTTTGATTTTTATCAGGATCTGAAATCAACTGTTTTGTTTACTTCCTTGTTTTCATCTAAGTAAGTTCGTGTGAAATTCATTTGGGAGGTTACAAGTGTTTTTTGCGTACATGCCTCACTGTACTTAGCCACTTTTGACAAACTTCACAATTGTAACCATCCTCCCCTGCCTCCCAAAAAAATTTTACCAGAATGGAAACAGGTAGCTCTCGCTAACCGAATTTGTCTGTTCTCTTGACTGATAAGAATTTATTATTGCTGGAATCTTGGCGCTTTGTTCAGTCGAAACGTAAATTATAAAAAAAGACCTCAATAGCTTTTAAGAAAGTAGAACTTTGTCAAAGAATCTCCTTATGTGTACTTGCCGGTTAAGTACACCCTATCAGTTCAAATCTTGGTTTTTTTCTTTTAAGGAAATGTCAAAGAATTCTTAAAGCCAATACCAGTTGCAGCTCTATATGCATTAAACGTTGTAGATCTTATTCGACTAAATGCGGTATCGTATTGCATTTATCGTACTCCTTCTCTTTAGCAGCATTGTTTAAACTCACCGTCGACTCTGTTTTAGGTTATATTCCAGCTACCGCCGCCCCTCCATCCGCTGGAAAACAAACGGGGGGGGAGAAGAAAGGTATGAGTCCCGTGATATGGGCGGTACCTGTAGCTGTGGTTGGACTGATCCTCGTCTTGGTCATGACCTACTTCGTTCGTAAGTCGCGTCGACTGGAGCGCTCAATGTTCGCTCTTATGACAAGGAGGACCATTGATGACGAGGGTGGAGTCACATTTCATTCAGGTACTGATCGAAGGACACTTCAGTGTATTTAACGGTGACTTGAGACAAACAGATGGCATGTTTTTGAGAGGGCTTAACCCTTTAAATCTTAAGAGTGACCGTAAACTATTTTCTCCGTTCAATAATACTGCTGGAGTCATTCATTAAGATAACGAGAAGAAGGGAAATTATCTCCAATCTGAGAAGCTTTGATTGTTAATCAAGTTTTCCTTGCCAGTACCAAAGGAGTTATACAGAGAACAGAATGGAGAATATTCTCTTAGATGTTGCAGTGCAAAGGGTCAACTCTGTCATTATCACGACTGCTTTTGTCGTGAAATAAAGGGAGGAGTCCTCCCTTTTTCTGGTAATTTTTTAGAAGTTTCTCAGGATAAGGGATTGATGAAGAACTTCCAGAGGCTGTGGCCATCAGTTTAGCGGGCTGGACCCCCGAATGAGTGGTTGCGGTCCTGTTTATTGGGAAGACACTTTGCTCTCTCAGTGCCTAGGCTCTCCCCACTCAGGAGTATAAATGGGTACCGGGGCGAGCTGTCAGGGAAGCCTAACGAAATGTTTGCAAGAAGGAAGGGGGAGTCAATAGGGTGGACCTGAGATGGACTAGCGTCCCATCCAGGGTAGAGTAGCAATACTCCCTGTCGCTTTATGCAACAGAAACTAGGGTAAGCTCCCACAGTTGTACTAGTCACTCTTGTTTGCACTTTTACAGACTACGTTCTGATTGTAGATTACTTTTTTTACCCTCTAGACGAAGACGTACCCTTTATCCAGGGATTCTCCGACGACGAACCATTAGTGACAGCCTAGACCGCCGGTTAGCTGATCTGGATTGTTCCCATTTGTGCATAGTTTTATAGAGACCTTAAATTCGCTGTTCCCACTCCGTAGCTCGAACTTCGTTCTCGGCAACAGCTGCATTGGTAATGTTTTCATTTTTTAGCCCAGGAAGTTTGTCTAAGAGGCGAAGAGAAAATCGCACTTGCGCAATACTCCACGTGTGATCAGTTGTTCGCCAGTGTGATGTTGGACATGATTGGGTTGTTTTTTCATAACTAGGATATCATCAGTGAAATGCAACCCGAAAATGCCTTGCATTATAACAATTCAAAACGTAGTCGAGTGGGAACATTAAGACAGAAACCTTCGTTAGATGTACGTGGTAGTGTTGTAATCTATTTTGAAACTATCGTATTTAGACGTAAAACGGCGCTGCAGCATACGTAATCTCATCTCCACCCACGAGTAGATGTTCAACCCTTTCACTCCCAAGATCTCATTAGTAATTCTCCTTACTGTCTGCCATACAGTTCTTGTGATGTTAGTTTCGAGAATTTGGTATTTGATCAACTACTAATCCTTAATTGATGTTTTTCTTTATTCTCATTACTTGTCTTCTTGATATCGTATTGATCTTGTATGGAGAAGTTCTTTCTTGGTCACCCATGGGAGTTAAAGGGCTAAG